TGTAGATGGATCGTAACTCTATTCATAATGTAATAGTTGGAGTTGCTTCTTCATTATTAGTTTTTGGGACTCTTGATTCAAAGATTAAAATCTAGAAAGCAACTAATATATTGTAGTAATGATAGGAGTGCTTAACGAGCGAGTCGATCGCAAGTTGAGTAGTGCTCAACTCGTGCTCGTTAAAAAATTTTGTTGCTCGACTCATTGCTCGTTAATCTTGTTAAATTTTGCTTGACTCATTCTTGTTAAAAAACTTGTTACTCGCCTCGTGCTTGTTAAACTCGTTGGTTGCCTCATTGCTCGTTAAGCTCACCGAAAATTTTTATCTTATTTTTTAACTATAGATAAAATCTACTAATATTATATAGAACTTAATATAAATATAAATTAATAAATTTAACCCAAAAAAATTATCAAAAGAGTGTATGTAACAAATTGAAAGTCTAAAGTCCAAAATAACAATCCACAAATACATTAAAATAATAATTAGGTTTTGATTTTTGGGTGTAGTAAAATAATAATTATTAATTAATAATTTAGTATTTAGTATTTTTATTATTATTTACTAGAAATTTAATAGATTAGTCATTTATCACTTTTTTATTATCTATTAGTAAATTAGTAATTTTTAATGAAATAATTTTTAAGATAACTATTAAAAAATTGTAAAAATTTAACGACCTGCTCGCGAACTTAACGAGTTGAGTTGGAGTTTGCTTGACTCAACTCATTAAGGTCTCGTGTCGAGCGCGAGTTGAGTAGTGCTCGACTCGTGCTCGTTAAAAAATTTTGTTGCTTGAGTCGAGTCAACCTGAGTCGAGTTTTCATCGAGTCGAGTTCGAGCTACTCACGAGCTGCTCAACTCATTAAGCACCCCTAAGTACTAACTATATATTTTTAAAATATCGTTGTATTATAATGGTGTACTGCTAATTATATATTTGGTAATATTGTTATTTTATTATAGTGTAGTCTTAGATATGCACTTGAATAATATTATTAGTTTAATATTGTGTATTATTAATTTACAATTAGTGGATATTGCTGCTTAATATAATTAAAATTGTTGTTTAACATAGTGTATTATTAATTATTTTTGTATCGATCAAGTTAACATATTATAACTTTATATTTAAAATCTTGTCGGATATAATTGTATAGCAATCAATTAACTTAAAAATTAAGTTAAAATTAAGTTAATGAATAATAAAATCTATAATATATTTTGTTATAAAAACAAAATTTGAAAATTATTTTAAGGAAAACTTATCAAACAACTGAAAATATTCTATATAGTATCATCCAAACATCAACAAATGATTTCTGAAATTTATTTTTTTAAAAATATAATTTGTTTTTCTAAATTTCATTTTTCGAAAAATATTTTCAGTCTATCAAACGTACCCTCATTGTTCGATGCTCGAGTCAAATTCTAAGATATTTTAAGTGATTTGTGAGTTTCTTTGTTTCATGTTTTCTTATCAACCTCAAGTGATGGTAGTTTTGTTGTACAACATCCTAATATTAGGCTAAGGAAAGACGTTACCAAAAATATTAATATTTTTCAACTTCTGGTAGAGCGTTACCTAAAATTTTTTTTATACTGGAAATGTTAATTTCGCTACCTAAAATGAATATTTCATGTAGAAAAAAATAACATTTTAGGTAGCACCCATTATTAATATTTCATGTAAAAAAAATAAAATTTTAGATAGCGCTCTACTATAAATGTTAAAAAAATATTAACATTTCCGGTAACTTCTTTCCTTAGCCTTGTATTAGGCTGCATTCCCTTAGACTTTTTTTTCAAACTTTATATCATTCTTTTCTTTGTGACCAAATTAAATGTTTTGTTTTTAGTTTTCTTATCAACCTCAAGTGGGGGTGTTTTTTATTCAAACTTTATATCATTCTTTTCTTTGTGACCAGATTAAATGTAAGCTTTGATTAAATAATAAACTTTTTAACAATCATTATTTAGAACAGTGGATCCACAACACAAATATATGAATTAATTTTTTAACACAAGTTACAAAGAATTCATTTAAATGGAAGGAGAGTTCTAGGGTATAACCATTTATTATAAGGTTAATATAAGGTGTGACATAAAATATTATAAAGTAACATAATATTTTAAGTTACACGCAATTTAAAATATTAACTTCTTTTTACTTTTTTTGTTGCAAACATATTTTAGGTTGTAATCGAAAATATTATTATTTTTATAATATTTTAGGTTGTAATCGAAAGTGTTAAAAATATGATATTATAGGTTGCGCGTAAGTTAAAATATTATATTATTTATAATATTTTAGATCACAATTTATAATATTTTAAATCATATATTTTTTTAACCTTATATCAGATTGGTGCACCCAGAACTCCTCGAATGGAAAGGGTAAATGCCATGAACTAATTGTGCTTTTGACCTTGACAAAACAATGATATAATGATTTATTTAGTTTGCTAAGCTGTCTTCTGGCTTTTGCCAAAAAAATGTACATGGCCATTGGCCGGTAGCTGCTATACTTGTGACTTGGACTGCTGCACTTGTAAATATATCCATTATTGCAATTCCCTAGTTGAGGGTGCATTTAATTTTGTTGTGATTAAAAATAGTTATATTAGTGATAATAATTATCTTATTTAGTTATTGTATTCGTCTGAATATATTTATCCAATAATTTTTTATTTTTTATTTTTATGTATATTATTTGTTTATTAATGTAGGGTAAGTATAAGACAATATTTGTTTAAAGATAACTCTAAATTAAAACGCTCACATCACTAACATTTTTAATATTCGAACATGTGATCTCAAATAATAACAAATTTTTTATCACCAATATCGTTTGATTAGTGTATTTTTATGCACATTATGTCTTCAAACAATAGATCCAACCATCAACTCTAACGGACTTAGCAGATCAATGGTTAACAGGCGAGCTCCATGAAACTCCGTTAACAAGTTGGAGCCCAACAAACTGAGTTAACAAACTAAAAAAAATGTTACTGGACCTTAACTAATTTGACAACCTTAAACATTTCACTAATTTACAAATTATATTTCATCATTATTGAACATGGCATCAGAATCTAGAGCAAAACCATTATTACAAGGGAAAAAGGAGATATTTTTAATAAATTAAAATAAATTTAATATTTCAATCAAATGATGTTATGTATTATCATTCAGTTGGAGGATTAACTTTATTTTAATTTATTTTAGTTTAATATATTTATTTTTCAACAATCAGAGAATGACCGGTGTATATATTTTTGTATCTTAGTGTATAAATATTTAACTTAAATTTATACTATTTTATTTTTTAACTTTAAAAATATTTTTTATATTAACTTATTAAATATTTTTTAATTTTATTTCACTTTATATTATATATATATATATATATATATATATATATATATATATATATTTTATTCATATATAAACTATTAAAAATAAGTTTTATTCATATTTTAACTTTTCAAAGTATATACCTTATCTTAATTTACTAAATATATTATATTATTACTTTAAATTATAGAATATATTTTATTCTTATATTTACTTTAAAACATTTTAGCATAAAATTTATATTTTTAAATTAAAATAAAAATAAACTAATTTTAAATTAAATTAATAATTAAATATATTTAATAAGTTAATATAAAAATATTTTTTAAAATTAATATATATCCAATATTATGAATTTGAGTTAAATATTTATATACTAAGATACTAAATATATTTTGTAGTTTATACTTTTTGTTCTTTCATAAATTTTATTAAAATATGTTGTAAAGCCTTACCAATTGTGTGATTTTGTGTGAGAGTAAATCTGCCCAACTTCTTTAGGCACGGGTTTGATTGTTAAGAGTGGCAACATTAAAATTAATCAACTCATTTTGACATCAATCAATTAAAGGGGACATGTATCATCATTTGATTGGATTTAAAATATATTAAATGTAATAAATTAAAATATAACCTAATTACGTGGTAACAAGTATCATCGTGGAGATTAGATTTATTTAATTAATTTAAAATTATGATTAAATTGATAGAATATATAAATATTAAGGACTAAATGTATAATTATACTAATTTTATTAACTGCCACATCATCATTTCTATAAAATATTAACGATAAATAATTTGATCGAATACAATTAATAGTTATTTTATTAAGTAGTTTGATTGATAAAATTAAAAATTAATGATTAAAGTAAAAAGACTAAATAGTTAAATAGCAATTTGTATAGTCTACCTTAAAAAAAAGTTCTTCACCCAATAAAAGGTTTATCTTTTTTTTTATAATTCATTATCAATATTATTATAAATTATACTATTTAAATTTATTAATAACAATATATTATTATTTTTATTTAAGCTGAAGATGATTGAATAATTCCTTTCATTAATTAACGTGACGTACAGAACTTTGGAAAACAAACAAATCATAGTGTCGTGGAGCTGAAAACTTCTAAAACCTTCTTCATTTAATCCTCATGAACAAAATAAAATAAAATATTTAAATGATAAAATATTATTTTATTTAAATTTAGTATTTTTATATTATTAATAATATATTTCACAAATCTAGTAATAGCAATATCAATTGTTTTCATGTATGTATGCATGTATTTTTAAACTTTTAGTAATATTATTATGTTTTATAATTATTTTCAAACTTATGGAATTTCAGTAATTTATTTTAAAATGAATTACCCAAATAAAATAATTAAATATTTTTTAAATTATCATGATAATATATTTTGAAGGAGAATGTATGTTGAAAATTTTAAGATAATATTATTAAAAGAATAATTGTGAATCACGGAAAGATAAATATAGTAATTTTATTTTGGAAAAAAATAAACTTGAACGATTAAAAGTTATTTGTCCACGTGAACAACGACGGTAATTATCGTCTTTTTCCTACACTGGCTTATCATTTCCAAATTTTCTTCGTTATATATTTTCTTGGGGCTTGGTATTGCATTATCCACTTAATAGATTACAGAATGAAAATTTCGGAGGTTATCCGAGTCACCCCACCCTCTGACTCACCAGAATCAGCCACCGAATTGTGTCTTCCCCTCACTTACTCCGACCTTTTCTGGTTCAAGCTTCCTCCCGTTGAGCGTCTCTTCTTTTACCAACTCAACGAGTTAACTCCTGCTTGTTTCAACTCAGTTGTCCTCCCAAAGCTCAAGCGCTCACTTTCTCTCACACTCCTCCATTACCTCCCCGTCGCTGGCAACCTCAAGTGGCCACCAGACCAGCCTAAACCCGTCGTTTTATACACCGCAAACGACGGCGTTCCCCTCACGGTTGCCGAGTCCAGCCCCGACTTTAATCTCCTTACGAGTAATGGGATCCATGACGCTGTCGAGTTGCATCCTCTCAAACCCGAGCTGATAGCTTCAGATGTTTCAACATCAACTGTAGCTTTGCAGATAACCCTTTTCCCAAACATGGGGTTTTGCATTGGAATCACAGCCCACCATGCTGTTCTTGATGGCAAAACCACAACCATGTTCGTCAAATCTTGGGCTCATATATGTAACCACGGAAATAAAGACAACTCTACCTTGCCACTCGAGCTGATCCCATTTTTCGACAGATCTGTTCTGAAAGGTCCCGATGGACTCGACATGCTGTATTTGGACCAGTGGCTAGCTTTGAGCGGATCAGATTCTAATAAGAAAAGCCTCGAAATCACGACGAGTGGAGGAGGAGCTCCGGATCTAGTTCGAGCCACTTTTGAGATTACTCGTGATGATCTCAATAAATTAAGAGAAAGGGTATTGTCCGTAGTACCACATAGTGGGAAAGATCTTCACTTATCAACGTTTGTGCTTTCATATGCTTATGTAACAACTTGCATGGTGAAAGCCAGAGGAGATGGAGAGCGACGTGTTCTTCTCGGGTTCACAGTCGATTGCAGGTCGCGGTTAAACCCTCCTGTCCCAGAAAATTACTTCGGCAACTGTAACAGAGGTATATTCCAAGTCTCGAAGGCAAGAGATTTCTTGGGCGAACGGGGGTTTGTTTATGCTGTTCAAAAAGTAGGTGAGATGGTTAAAGGTTTAACGGAGAAGGGGGTTCTTGATGGAATCGAAAAGGACCTGACAATTGTTTTCGATGTACTTAAGCAAATGGCAGAGTCGGAGATTCAGATTATTAGTGTTGCAGGGTCGCCTAGATTCGGTGTTTATGGATCAGATTTGGGATGGGGGAAACCAAAGAAGGTGGTGATTGTTTCGATTGATAAGAGTGAAGCTTTTTCCATGGCGGAAAGCAGAGATGGGGGCGGGGGAGTGGAGATCGGCTTGGCTTTGAAAAAAAATGAGATGGACAAGTTTTCTTCCTTGTTTCTACAACATGTTTAACAACTGGGATCATCTGGAAATAGTGCTTTCTTTTTCTATTCAACTTCTCTTCTTCAAATAAAAAAAAAAAACTTCTCTTCTTCAACATAATAAATAAAATGAAGCAAAACATTTCACGTTACTCATCATTTTAATGCCATGGTCCCCAAAAATCATGCATTTAAACATGGATCCCCACCATTTTCAAACATTTGCCGCTGGCTACGCTGCTGCTTCTGATTTCATGTCATAACTTTAAAGCTAAATTATAAATTTTAATTTATACTATTTCGTTCTTATTTAATTTAATTTTAATTACGTTAAAAAATTAATATAATTATTGATGTAATATTTTTTACCAAGAAGATGCCATGACGCTCAAACGAAACAAGTAATTTTTTTTTTTGAATAGTCAAACAAACAAAACAAGTAACAACAAATACAAATAGTTCCAACAAAAATAACCGTTGTATTTTTTTTTACGTTCGTGTATCACTTTTTTTATTTATTTATATTTTAGGTTAAATTTGACACAATCTTTCCCACATGTATTTATGTTGTTATCTTGCTCATTTATATATATGATTTGAATATATGAAATGATTCTTATATTGATAGGTGCTCGCAATTCTTCCATATAGGTTGCACTTGAGTTTTGATATAGTTAATTGTTAACGTGTCATCATCTTTATAATTGTCATAACCATTTTTTAAAAAACAATTAAGTTAAAAAAACAATTATGATTATATTTGAAAAATTAGCGATTTTGAATTAATTTAATTAAATAGGAGTTGTCATTGACCTTTGGGCTAGGTTGGTCGAATACCTAAAAACGTTTAAAACAATTTTAAGAAAAAAATCGTTTTTAAAACAAAAATTGATCTACGTTATCAAAGATTCATTTTTTTGGGATCCGTGAGTCGATTATGCGTGGGAAAGGGTAAGCACCCTCACAACGCCCAAAAAATTGGTACTTAGTCGCTTATATATATTGTCGCGGTAGTGGAAATTATAAATCGAATATAAAGTTAGAAAATGATTCATTTATTAAAGTTTAATTAATTTACTTCGAATTATTTATTAGGAAAAATCCTTTAATTCGAAAAGAAATATCGAGATTTGCTCATCCTCCGACGGGAATGCTATCTCTTCTATTTCTTGCCAAAAAAGAATATTCCCTACTCGATTTATCAAAAATGTAAAAACGAATGTTTCCCACACACACATTCTACAAATAAATGTTTTTGGGTAAATTACTATATAAAAAAGCATTGCATAATTTGAATTAGAAATAAAAACGAATTAATTAGTAAAATAAATTCGATTTATTTCAAGTTTACATTTCGTTCGAATGTCGTATCGGATCGCACTATTTCGATCAAACAATGTTTTCCACACGCATTCTACAAATAAATGTTCTTGAAAATATTAGAGTAAAAAAAGCGTTAAAAATGAATGAAACAAACATTTTATACAATTGTTCAAAACCAATTCCCAAGAGCAAAGAATATGTATCTAACTATACAAAAATTAAATTATAGAAGTAAAATAAACAGATAATAAAACACAATAATTAAACGAATAAAAATAAAAAAATAAAGAGACAGAAATAAACTATCAGAACATTGAAGCAAATAAAATGTAAATAGTGAAAATAAATATAGAAAATAAAAACGCATAAATTTAAAAGTGCATAAAGTTAAATAACATAATTAAAATGCAATAAAAATACAATGTTAATATTGAATTTTGTTATGTATCACATACTATAAATGATGCGAGTCATATCTCGGGACGGATCATAGCAAGGTTGTATATGGTTCGAACATAAAATAAAATAAACAAATAAATAAAAGGTTAACAGTTAGTAATTAGCGGTTATAAAGATTAGCGGTTATAAAGATTAGCGGTTAGAAATTTAGCGGTTAGAAAAGTTAGCGGTTAGCAGAGTCCGAACCAAAATAATGTATATCATACCCCGAATCTGGTCACCACAAGGTTGAATCGAATAATTCAAACAAATTAGCAAAATAAAATAAAATAAATATAAAAAGTTAGTGGTTAGAAGAGTCCGAACTATAATAATGTGGATCATACCCCAAATCTGGTCACCACAAGGTCGAATCGAATAATAGAAACAATAAATAAATAAATAAATAAACAATGGTTATAATGCAATAAAATAAAAGTCAGTAGTTCAGTCTGAACCATAATAATGTAGATCATACCTCGGATATGGTCACCACAAGGTCGAATCGAATAATAGAAACAATAAATAAATAAACAATGGTTAGAGTGCAATAAAATGAAAGTTTGTGGTTAATATGCAATAAATAATATAGCAGAATAGTGACCAAATTAAAAATTAGTGAAATTTACATGCATCTTCGAAATAAATAAAAAATGTGTGACCAGAGTGCAAAAAAGGCTAAATAACAACGGGCTTAAAGGTGATTTTCCCTCGATAATGACCAAAGTGTAAAATACACAGGAGCTGGGAGGACCTGTGGGTGATTTACCCACTGAATAGGTGACCAAAACGCAAAATGAAGCCTAAAACTTGGGGACATGTGGGTAATTTACCCAAAAACACAAAACAACACTCCTCCCTCATTCCTTTTCTGCACGCACAACACCCCTTTTCAGGGCCCTAAATCGAACGTCGACCACCGCAAACCGGCCCTTGCACGCCGGCCACCAGGCTGGTGACCCTCAAACTCAAATCAACAACCTCGACCTTGACCGAATGAGGACTGATTGAACGACTTCACCCTATTTTTTAAACCAATCGAGAAGCTCCCAAAGCTTCACATGCACAACCGACCTCCGCTCCTAGGAGGCGTTTCTCACGTCGGCCACCAAGATGGAAACCAACACACCCTAATCGACGTCCTCACTCCCCAACTCGCGACTTTACTTCCCAATAATCACCGTTGGTGATTGAGTTCCAAACCCAACACTGAAACAAAATCAAAAACCCTAATTTGAGGTTATTCCCGACCATTCATCTTCCTAAATCGACTACCCTGATGCCGGCGAGGCTCCAACGAAGAAGCCGATTGCCCCAAACACCTAGCTATGCCCGAAACAAGCAAGAAAAGAAAGAAAAAAATACATGCTTTTAAACAGGAGAGCGACTCAGTTTTATTTGCTTTTTCTCAACTTAAAAAATAAGGGGGTTTATGTTTTTTGCTTGGCTTTTAAAGCCCCTCATATATTACAATAGGGTAATATTACAAGTTTGGTCCCTACATTTTGTTTCTTCTTTTATTTTAGGAAAAAATTAGGGAATTACAACTTCCCCTCTTTGTTCGTCTGTTATGTAAACAACGATGAAGCAAAGACAAATAATGGCCTAATTTTGTCTAGCTGCGATGTTTGCTTTGCATCTGGAGCTCCAATTCTTTGTCTGAAAACATAGGACCTAAAGATGACATTGTTCCTTCATGTTGAGGACGTCGGGTCAATCTGAAGATAATTTGGTGTTGAATACGACACTGCTCATACATTTTGAAGAGTCATGGTCACTTTCAGGTAAATTGTTTTGCTGAAGATGACAATGTTTCTTCTCGTTGAGGAAGTCGGGTAAATCTAAAGATAATTTTGTTGCTGAAGATGACACTATTCATCCGTGATGAAGAGTTCTGGTCATTTTTAGGTAAACTTTGAGACTCACAGCTCCTACATGATGAGGAAATCTGGTTATCTAAAGGTGACGCTGCTTCTACGTGATGAGGAGATCTGGTCGGTGGATGACACTGTTCCTACGTGATGAGGACATCTGGCTATCATTAGGGATAACGGAGATAACACAGTTCCTATGTGATGAGGAAGTCTAGCTATCTAAGGATGACATGGCTCCTACGTGATGAGGAGATCTGGTCGGTGGATGACACAGTTCCTACGTGATGAGGACGTCTGGCCATCTTTAGGGATAATGGAGATAACACAGTTCCTACGCGATGAGGAAGTCTGGCAATCTAAGGATGACGCGGCTCCTACGTGATGAGGAGATATGGTCGGTGGATGACAATGTTCCTACGTGATGAGGACGTCTTGCCATCTTTAGGGATAATCGAGATAACATGGTTCCTACGCGGCAAGGAAGTCTGGCTATCTAAGGATGACGCGGCTCTTACGTGATGAGGATATATGGTCGGTAGATGACATTGTTCCTCGTGATGAGGATGTCTAACCATCTTTAGGGATAATGTAGATAACACGGTTCCTACGTGATAAGGAAGTCTGGCTATCTAAGGGTGACGTTGCTCCCACGCGATGAGGAGATCGGGCCGGTGGATGACATTGTTCCTACGTGATGAGGATGTCTGACCATCTTTAGGGATAATGTGTTACAAGAGAGACAAAATTTGTTTCAAGGGAAACAATCTCAATGTTTTTTTTTCAAGAGAATATAAATTAAAGTTTAGCGTCGTGAGAAAATTATCTCCGAACGCAAATCGCATATCCAAATCCAATCTGATAGTCCAAAGCATGAAAGATCAATATGATAACAAATAAATATTATGTTGATAAGTCGAGACGATATAAAATTCAACCACAAAAAAAAATTAAACAAAGAAAACAACCAAATTAAAAAGGTACCAAAAGGTAAATAAAAACTTGTTATAAAGGAAAAAATAGCGTACCACAAATACAGAGTTATTATAAACTAAAAAACACAATAAAGAAGATGCGATTAAAAAAATAAAAAATAATAATTATCGGGATTGATGATTAACACTAAAGTTGATATCATCGCTAACCAATAATAATAAAAAAAAAATCTCAACTAATGCAAGAATGAAGAAAAAAAACCTAGGACAAATGCTTGGAACTCGTTAAATTAAAATGAGGAGTTTTAATAAAAAAATATTTCATAGATTTTTTTTAGAATCATAAAAAGAAGAGCCTAATCAAACTTGTTGAAACTGCGCCATCGACATTCAAGCATATCTATCCAAAATCTGGTCTTTTCCATTGTAAAGAATCTGTTACTTGAATTTTTCATTAGGGGAAGAAGAGCAAGTGTGATAGTATTGCGCCCATGTGATGGATCGATGGAAAACTGCATCCGGAGAAGAAGTAATATTACTAAATTCTTTTTCAGTTCTGGCCTTCCACGATTTCCGTAGGAGGGATGCAACGATCGTATTCCAAGGAATATTTGAGTTAGTGGCCAAGTTTGGAGAGGAAATGTTTTGTTGCAGCCATTCTTGAGCATTACATTGACAATGTAAGTTGCTTTCTTTTGGTGGGCGCTTGACGTTAATAAAATGGGTCCTTTCGAACTTGCCGATATACTCCATCTCCCTTTCTCAAATCCCGACAAATAGCTTCGAAATTAAACAAAATGGTTCCTAATTTTTTATGGGGTCTTCTTCATCCCGTTCTATTAATTTGCGGCGTTTTTTTAGTGGCGTTTTATACAATATAAGGGTTTTAGCGGCGCTTAAAAACGCCGTTAAAAACCAATTTTGATGTAGTTACATGAAGCTCTAACCGTAACTAGCTGTGAAATCTCTATCTAATGTCAAAGTTTGAAAAACGTAACTTTAAAAATCAGTGATTAACAGTGGGATTTGCATCATCAATGCATAAAGCTCTCTCAAAGTGTGTCCCAACCAAGAAACGCTTCTTCATTGCTTGTGCAGATACATGAAATTGTCATTGTCAACTGCACTATGAAAAAATCTTTTAGAAAATTTGTACAAATAGAAGTTGATTATTACCCAAGTAGAGTACCTAATAATTTCGACAAAACATAAATGAAAAAATCAATACAGATAAACCCTTGCTAGTTTGGTTTCTTGAAGAGATTTGTTTGGAATTAGGGATACAATGTTACTGTCTTGGAAGAAAGGCTGTGAGTTATCGGGAGGCTGGAGAGTTTTGGTTTTGGATTTTATTAAATATTACATTGTTTGTACTGGCACATGTCACTAAAATACACCACATTTGCGGTTTTTACCAAAACACACCGCTAGAAGTACATGAATATTGTGGCATTACCTTGCACACGGCACAAATGTTGTCATTTGGTGACAATATTTTTTAAACGTAGGAAGATATCTATTATTAGTGACGTTTTCTGGAAATATGACACTAAAAATACCGCTGGACACTCCACCCAATTATATATATATTTAAAATATTATGTTATAAATAGGGATGACAAACGGGTGGGTCGGGTGCGGATACCCCTCCCCCATCCCCATACCCACCTAATATTTTTCAATCCACCACTCGCCCACCACCCATGATGGGTACAAATTTTCAAATCCACACCCGCCCACACGGGTACATTCTCAAATCCATCCCCACACCCACTACCCACTAGCGATGTACCTGTCTAGACCCGCCTGAAAGTAAACTTAAGTTATACATAAACAACAAACATAAAAAAACATGTCCATTAAAACACATAATAAAATAATCCAATGATTATCTAGTTAAGTGTTAATATATATCTTAAAGTACATAAATCACATATTAATCACATTAAAAATACAACAAATTAAAACACCAACATTTGTTCTTCCGCATGTTCGATTGCTTAGTCAATATAGATTGCTTATGCATTTAATGCCAAGATTTTTGCTGAATTGAGGATAAAGATATCGTATTTTATAATGATTTCAATATCATTGCCCTCGGTCTTGATTCCATTGAGGCTCGGAGCTATATTAATGCAGTAGCTTGTAGTTTCCTTGGTGTGTTCTTTTAACCTATTACAAGCTGACTTTATTCTCTTCAATTTTTCTTTTTATAGCTACTATGTTTGGCCAAGGGCATTTAAAATTCTTGTTCTTATATTTTGGAGTTTCCGGAATGCATCTTAAAAAGGGATAGGAAAAAAAATGCTCTAGTTATTATAGGTTCATCATCACGGCATGGTGATGGCATGTAAGGGTAATATATTATAAATAGCCTTATAGCATATACTTCCTATGCTCATATGATGAGATGTGAAAAGAATGAGAGCTTAGAACTGTGACATGTTTCTCAACATTAATTTTTTAATAGCTCGAGACAGTTTCTAATCCCTGTGTGTATTCTTTGTTTTTTTGTCATGAATTCTAAAAAGATATCTTATTTTTTGCCATCTACGTTTCTTTCCTTCTACGTGCCAGACATTTATTTGTCGCAATGATTTTCTGTGTTGTTCACTTTTCTCAATATAGATTGCTTAGTCATTTCATGCCAGGATTTGTGCTGATTCTTTTGAACATGAATGCTTATGCATGTTCGATCATATAATTCCTACAAACATGCATTTATTTGTATTAAATTTTTTATTATTTGTTATTTATCAGGCTTTCCCTTCAGTACCACCCCGACAAGAACAAAAGTAAAAGTGCACAAGAGAAGTTTGCTGAGATCAACAACGGTAAAATGAACTTCTTACTTATTATTATCAATCTTGAGAGAAACAAGCAAAAAATTAGAACTTTTAAATCATATGTCTTGAGAGAAAGAGAGAAAATGCCTGAGTTTTAACTGTAGAAAAAGAATCTAACAAGCTTTGACAGCCAAGACAGAAAGTGGCTAAGCTTTACAGTATGAAGTTTGGAGGAAAAACTGCAGAAAGGAAATGCCTTTTCCCTTTATTTTTCTGCTCGAGAAACAAGCAAATATAAGAATCAAAGTTGGGTTTTTGTAGATTTGAGGCCAGAGACTAAAGATTAAAGACTAAGAATACCAGATTAAAGATTAAGAAGAAGAAGAAACGTACCTGAAGAGTGGAGACCAGGAAAGATCGGCGCAGTAACGAGATTAAAACTAAAGAATAGATCAGATTAAAGACTAAATATCCCTAATATTTAGTTAAATTGCATGTTATATCTTATACAATATTGGAATTTATAAATCAGTCTCTAAAATTACTCCTAAATTTATAATGGTCCAAAATTTAATGGATATTTAGCTGGGCGTGCGGATGCGGGGCGGATAATGTCTCAAACCCATTACCCGCCCACTACCCGCGACGGATATCACTTTCTAAATCCACACCCGCCCACTACCCGCTAAAATTATACCCATCCCCGCCCCAATTGGAGCGGGTGCGGAATCCACGAATTATACCCGTTTGCCATCCCTAGTTATAAAGCTTAATGTAGATATCCACTCAACTCCCATAATAAATTTTTATGATCTTTATATTCAATATAATTTGAGATATTTTTTTTACTGTTTAAACAAATTCGAAATTATATTTTCACAAATGTTATGATAATAATTGTGTCAATTGAATTAGAATTTAATGATGATAATCAGAGATGGACTTAGAGGGGGTGGGTGAGGGCCGTTGCCCTCCCTAAAATTTTTAAATTCTGATATATTTTAGATATTTTATTTGTATTTTTATTTGAAATTATGTTTTGTACCCTTAAAATTTAGCAAGTTCTCTCCTTCTTAAAATTTTATAAATTTATCCCTCATAACATGAAATCTTGCGTTCGTCTCTGATTATAATTCTTAGTTAATTTATACAGGTTTAATGAATAATTTGAGCCAAGTAGCCTGCCTTGCTGACCTATTCTTGCAAAATATTCTTCTTATTTGACTTTGTAACCAAAACGAATTAACTAACAAGGCGTTGAAATTTTCAAGTTTAACCCATTTTTTTATACGTGCAATATCTTCATATATCATACATTGTTAATATCAATTAAAGGGTTCAATGTCCTTTCTCCAGCATTCCAAGTCAAGTCCCTACGCCCGTGAAAACCAGTCCAACCAATGGTCTTCTTCATTTACATAAGAATTTAATGAGATGGTCAGCCACCACCATGTTGGCCAAGTCAAGTCCCTTTCAAGTGGACATCAACACATGCATGTCCCTTTCCGTCTCTCAAGAATAACCACCACTAAATTTATGAAATAAATGCCCTATTCAATGCTCCAACTTGGCTTGGACTTGGAATTCAATTTCCTCCCAACTTGAAATTCAATGTAGAATATGTCCACCGACGGACACATGGAACGAAATTTTAAATTTTTTATCAAGGAGCAAAAATAAATTATCAATAAAAATTATAAAGAAAATATTTAAAATATAAGATAATTTGAAATTTTCGAAACCCTCCATCTATCCATGAATGTCAATTGAGGGAACAGACCTGAGACATTGATCTAATTAACCAGTTTTATCATTACCACAATATGTCGTTACATACAGGTGGGTGCCTTAATCAAAGTAAAAACATAAAATCTTACAATCATGGTTCATCTCCTATGTGGATTATGCAATGATTTTTGGGATCCTTCAAACAGGTCCAACAAATAATCCTCCATATCTTCCGAGTTGTACTTTATGTGCTTCTCAGCAATCCGGTATATTTGTCTTCCGATAAACGTCCGATAAGCCTGGATCACTGCCAGGGATGTCGAGATCCGTAAATCTTCTCGAAGTTGAACATCCAGGATAAGCCATGCTGTCTGTGTTTTGTAAACCTCTTCGAAAGCGGCATAAAATCGACGCAGTCTCTCCTTCAGAAGTGTCCCTGAGATAGAACCAGAGCTCGAATCGGACTCGCCTTTCAACAACGAGAGAACCGAACTCCAAGTAGCTCTCTCATAGTCCATTGCGTGCCGTTGGAATTTCCAGTTGCGTTTTCGAATCCAATCATCTCCGAATATAAGCCTCAGCTCTGAATTCTTAACCTTTTGGGCCATGTAATGTATATTGTTCATTAGAAAGAAGTGTTGCAGTGAAGGATCCTTATACAGTTTCGATTTCTCGTCGAGTTTGGCCTCTAGAGCCGAAGCGAGTGATCGAAGGTGGAGTGACATTGTGCAACAACTGCCCGAGAAATCTTTCAGGGTATTTTTATAGTCTGCAAGAAGCAGGATGTAATTCATAACATATCTGGTCAGATGGTGAATTCCCCCACCTGCAAGAGAGCTTGTTGACATGTTGGTTGCAATGGCAGTCTCGAATTCATGAAATGCTGCCATTATGAAGTCACCCAATCTCTTGAAAACCTCATGGGATTCAGTTCGAATAGAAGAACCAGCTTCATCTACGAACAATGCATCGATGTCGGGAAGAAGATCCGCAAGAACCTCATACATGTCTAGGATTCGAACCAGCTTTTCGGGTTGACGAGAACCCATCGAGACGGCGTGGGCAAAGTTGAGAAGCTGCAACATCGAATCCTTTGCAGCCTCAACAAACATACCCAAATTACCTGATCCAAGGTCTGCGAGAACCTGGTCGCAGAGCCACTTCTCGCTGGCGAGATAGGGCCGGATAAAGACCTTCATAGTTCTAATCCATCTCTTGATCTTTGAATACAAGGCACCCCACTCCATGTTCAGCACATCTTCTATGCTCAATTTCTCCATTTCTAGATTGAAAAGGCACTCAGCTAATGCTTTCTTTACAACAAGGACATAGGCACGGCAACACTCTAGACCATAATTGGACTTGAACATCAAACTGGCAATGCATTTGAGATCAGGAATCACATCCGGATGAACCGAATCGATGCGGACCGAGTCGTCTCGGAGAGAAACTAACGAACCATCATCCTCACTCGAACGAAACAAAGTGTTCTGAGGCTCGAAGGGTTGCCTATGGTGAACAAGCATGTGTTTGAACTCTTCTTCAAGCCTCTGCATTGCCATCTGAAGAACATCACAGGCTCTACGTAGCAAATCTTTCTCTTCTTTGCTATCTGAACACTGATTCTCCAATCTCTCCTTCAACTTGACAGCTTCATCGACGGCATTCAGATAATCGACAGCTTCTTCGGAACCCGAATCCCAAATCATCGATTTATCATCCTTGTAACTCATAATCTTCTCCTCAACAACACTGAAGTGATGTTCAATCCCAGGTTTGGCAGCCATAGTGGATAATTGGGTACCAAGACCAGCCAAGATTTTCTTCACATCTTTTGTGAGGTTCTTATTGGAACTCAGTGCACCCACTATATGTTTCACCGCAGCAATTAAATTGTCGTCTCCTTCTAGTTGAGGAAGCAGAGGTTCATAATCCCCCATCCCAGGAATTTGTAGAAAGGGAAATTTTAGAAAAGACCCAACAAAGCAAAGGTCATAAAAAATCAAAAGAGAGATGAATTCTGAGTGTACGGAAAGTACAAAGGAAGAAGGAGAGCCTCAAAACTCTGGTGTACATTTCTCTTTGGGAAGCTCCAACTTTGTTATATCACAAGAATACGGCTCTTCATTCATTCACCGGTATTATTATTATTATTATTATTAATTATTGTCACCCATACATTTCTTTTGTTTGTCTTCTTCGGAAATTTGTGGCTTTGACCAAGATGAAGACCTGACCTTTTGCAGGTAATTTATATAACAATTAAATAAAATTCTATTACATATATAATTTTTACATTTTAGCATTTGAAGCCAATTTTGGCTTTTTTATGTCCTTCTAGCCAATAAAATAATAATAAAATGGCTGTGACATTCAAGTCTCTATGGCTATGGCTATTTAACTCTTACTAGAATTCATTGGTCAACTTTAGTGATAAAAAGAAAATGTTACTCTTCTTAAAAATCTTATATTCGAACAGTTTAATATGTAATATGCGTACATGTTGATTATCAATTGATTAAAAAATCTAAACATATATTATCGTATAATGACTCATACTAATTAAATAACTCCGAAAACAACACCAAAATATTTGGTATTGAAAATATTAAGAGGTCAGCTCAGTTACAAGCATTCCAATGCCTGCAATTTTTCTATTATTTATTTCATTTGATGAATAACCAAAGGCCTGAAAATGAAAGTGACGTAAATTCTGAACACAAATACGTTCAATTTCTTTCATATATTTAAAAATTCCGCATAAAACCATATAGTCATCAGACACGAATACTTAAGTAACCTTGAACCAAAACACAAAGCAACTCAATTTTATCAACATTATGACGGGGCATCATCACATGCCTTTTGCTTAAACAAAACAAATTCTCAAAGATTCTCAGCACAAGCACTGGCAGCAGCGTTTCCTTAGTACAGAATAACAATGAAGTTACATAAACAAGAACCCTAAGAATCTAATAGAACGATGCTAACCTTGGTGTTTTCCCAGTGATTTTGGTTGTGCAAAAGTACCAAATAGTTTACTTATCTGCCCAAGAAAGGACTAAGTAACAAAATAATCTAATACCAGTTCCAGTAGGTCCTGCGTCTGAACCAGTTGTAATCAGGCAAACCTTGGATAGGACCCATTTCAGCAATTGCAATATCCTGCCAAAACCAAAAACAAAGGTATTCCAATGTCGTATCAACTTGAACCCATTTCAATAAAAGCTGCAAGGGTAGAGTAGTATTAGCTAGGTTAGGATACGGTTCTTACCCTGTCATATATAAATCGGTTTGCAACACGTTTAACAGTGCTTGGACCAACAGCATCAATCCTAGCAAATAATTCAGCAAATGGGATTCTCCGACCGTATGTAAGTAGCTGCAAGGATGGGAGATCAAACAGACAAACACAAACAAGCAACTGAAATTAGTAACAAATGATAGTGATTTTTCTATTGCAAAAACAACTCAGCACAGCTACCATCTGGTGTATATGTTGCACATCACGGTCAGTTACAGTAGGAGTTTTGATGAAACCAGCAGGTTCAACCAACTCAACCAATTAAACCAATAATTGGAGGTCTGACCAATTTGACTTCCAGTCCCTTTTTTAACATTGTTAAAAACTCTTCAATGCAGAAAAAGTTATACCTGGCGCCCAATATCTTCGGCTACAGGACTAGTTCCATATATGTGAAGCATCAAGGATGACTTTAGCTGAGGAAATAAAAAAGAAAAAGTAGTTAAGAACACAGAATATATATTTGTGATGTTAACATGCAAGAATGAGTTGATGAGTGAGAGTGGATTACAAGTATCATGAGAGAATAAAAGGACTACATACAGCAGGCATCATGGTGATATTTTAAATAGCGGCAAGTACATTTTCTTTCCTTTTGAATTTATTTCCATTGAAAGGGTATAGTTCCTCCAAAATTGCACCATAAAATTAAAGACATTCAAAATAATAATAATAATGTTTTTTCAAACAAAATGTACATAACAAATACCAAGGCCTTTACACGAAATCTACGCTTGTAGGTGCATTATATACACATTTTCAAAAGTAGAATGCAAAATCACCTACTGGCAACTGGTTTTGTCCTGTTGGCATACTGCTAGAAGTTCTTAAAAATACACAAAACGTAAAATATAAATTTGATATCTACTATCAAACATGAAAAAGGTAGCATTTTTAGCTACCTGATTACGAGCACTTAATATCAGCTTCTGAAACACGATGAGCTAGCTTGGTTTTCTCATACATGATATCATAAGCTCCAAACAATCAGGCTGAAAACAGAACATGAAACTTATTCATTCATAAGAAGAGGTAGAATATATAAAATGAAAAGAACTTTAAAAAACACAGCATAGAACTGCTGGTTTCATCAAAACTATAAATATCTATGATGAAGAAGGGGGAGGGGAAGGGCACCAGATACAATGTTTATGCCACTACACGAGAACTATAAATATCTATGATGAAGTCAAAGAATATGACAAATTTATAACTAAAGAAATTGTCAACCATAATAATAGGTAGTAGTTGATATATCTACATGTCTAAATGTATTATGCAAAAAAAATTATACGTACAGGCAGGGGATCTCATCTCACCTTGGCAACAGCATAGACACCGAAAAGACCAGTATCTTTACAGTTAGTGTTGAACGCCGTCACGCTTTGAGCAATTTCATTAATGGCAACTTTTTGTACCAGATCAGAGCTGTTTGGAAGAATACCAGAACAAATCAACAGATTGTTGCAACAGGAGAATCTCATCATGAGACCGCCGAGAAGGACTGGTCCAGTTTAAAACATGATTCGATTTAGGAGAAAACTCACCCCATGTTCTTTCCACCCCCGACATTTTTGTTCCATGAACCCAACATTGCCTTCATAACCATTAGAGCGATGGAGTCTGGATCTGTCCAAGATGTACCCTCAAAGGCAACTGCAAATTGTGCTAGAGGAACATCATCAATGATAATTCTCACCTGATTTTGGCATAACACATAGAATGTTATTACTGAATTAGAAGGTTCAACTGTTACTAGAGTAATTGCACCGCACCTCGGAACCAGTAAAAGCGGCTGGTTCTTTCACAACTAGCTGAGAAGCAGTGGTTGGATCAGATGATAACTTGGTAAACAACTTCTTTACTTGCTCAACAACTTCCCATGCTTAACAGCGCCAGATGCGGCAATGACCTGTAAAAGTTGCCAAATAACACATATCATAAGAACCTACCAACAATTTGCTTAGAAATAACTGGAATAGCTCATAAGTTTCAGTGACCTGATAATATATTATTAAATTGATAAACAACAAATTCATCAGATTTAAGGACATGCATACCATTCTCGGAGCAGTGTAGTGTGTCTGAATATATTTCTCCAGATCTTTGGTAATTTCCTAATATTATCAGCAGGTCCCAAAATAGTTCTACTGAGAGGAGTGTATTGGACAGATTGGTCAAAAATAACTTCTTCCGTTTGACCCCCAACCTACAAAAATTCCCCAAGATTGTAGTCTTTCTATGAATAATAAACATATAACTAAATAGGAAGGAAAACAAGTGCACTTGCTAATGCCATCTATTTTAGAATAATGAATACAAAGAACAAGGTGGCGTACACTTTAAATATCACTGCTGAGTGAAAAAAAAACACCCGAGATTATAGTCTTTCTATGAGTAATAAACATATAGAAATGACCATCCAGCTCAGTTGGTAGAGCACAAAGTTATTAATCTTGGGGTCGTGGTGGGCAGCTTTCTATCATACGTCTCCCTTACCCAATTACATATGGGAATAAGGATAAGCTAATTTATGAATAATAAACATATAACTAAATAGGAAGAAAAACAAGTGCACTTGCTAATGCCGGGAGTAGTGCTTTTTTAATTATAATAAAAAAATAAATTATTAAAAAAATCTACATATTATTTTTTAAATATATTTAACATATGTTTATATTGTAGTGCTTCTCTAATTTTTCATTAACTTTATAGTTAATTAATTAATTTTGATTAATTATTATTAAATAAAATAAAGAATTTATTAATTAGTTAATCAAGAATAAATTTATCATAAAAAATCTTAAGGGCAAATAGATATTTAAATTATATTGGGTAAATGAAATTTCCACCAATACTAAAAATACAATCTTACGAAGGTATATTTCACGTGTCAAATAGTGCCTAAATCAGCAAACTGCAATTATCCACGTGGCAAGTAAATAAACAATCAATCCTAAATTTCTTACATCAGTTTCGTCAGAGAAATCCTAATCCTTATGGGCCTTATCGGATCCCCTCTAATCCCAGAGTGGCATTTTCCGTAATTTTCCAACATATTCTAACCTGTTTTTGTAATTTCACATTTATTTTCGGCATTCGCATATCACCGATCCAATTCCTATAAATCAACCTTCGCCCCAATCTTTACCAATGTCGCGGTCGCAAATTTAAATTAATTTTCCTTCTTATCTTTGCATCTTTTCTTCTTCTTTTAAATTGGTTCTTGCAGTGTTAATTCGTTTTATCCTCTTTCGTTTGATCCTAATTTCAGTCACTCCCGTGTATCGAATTCGATTCTAGGGTTAGGGCTTTTTTTTTATATTCTTCGATTTCTAAAAGGGGGCTTCTTTTATCTATCAATTCTGACCTTGGATTTTGCTTTTTCCTGATTCCACTTTTTTTGGGTCGGTGGAATATTTCCGGAATTTTCTTAAATATCGAAACTTTGTAGGGTTCTCTTATTAAGAAGAAAATTGTTATCCTTTTTCCATTGTAAAATATTATAATAATAAATTTGAAATTATTTATCTTTATTTCTTGTAAATCATTTTAAATCTATAAAATCAATCGTATTCTCCATTTCCTGCTACTGTCGAATCTCTCGATTGATTGGTCAACGGATTTTCAGGTATGAACAAACATATAGAGCTCAGTTACGTAGAATAGACCTGCACATTTTCATTTTTTACTTTAATTAATAATTTAAAGTGTTTCTTTTTAAGTAATTATGTAAATGCGATTACTTTCATACTATTTTGTACCTGTTCACCAGATGCTGAATTTTATATTAAAAAGTTAAATTTATAACATTTTAGAAATGAAAATAGATTATAATAGAAAATAAAATACAAAAAATATTTAAAAGATATAAAAGTTTAAAAATTTCAGCGACTGTCCCTTCCCGCGTCTTTGGGTCCATCCTGGTTAGTCTGATAGTTAAAAATTATAGTGATGAAAAGATGTTAATTTAGTATTTGAAAGTTTGTTGTTTACTGGCAGGCTAAAATGATTCATAAGCGTCCTTACGTCGATGACTCTCAAGAGGTTGCGTGCAAGCTACCAAGGCTTTGGGAAGATGCCGTCGACTTAGCTCCAGTTGTCAATGGTGTTCATCACAAAAGCGCTATCCCAGATCCTCAAATTTCTGGTATTACAATGTTGATACATCTATAATTCTTTTTGCATCATAGAGTACGTGTTTTTGTGGACCTTGTGATACTGTACATGATATCATCAACAAGAACAAATACATAAGCATTTATTTTCCAATTGCTAAACAAAAAGGTGTTGATTTTTACTTTAGTTCGTCGATTGGACATGTAGAAGGTGCATTTGATGAACTTGCTTGTGGTTCTTATCATTAATTTGATTGTCATGCAGACTACTGTTGCAGATATTTGAGTTTATAGAAGCATTTTGGTACCCATTTCTTTATGTTCTATGTATCTGGTACTGTGGTAGACTAATTGCTTGCATATGGTTCCTTTATCACATCTAAATGTATGCTTCAATTTTATTGATATATTTTGCCAGTCAAATTAAATCTTCTGTGAGTTACTGTATCTGATAGTTCCAATTTGAATAAGGTAAACGGGAGGACATTTACAGTATTTGTCAAGATAAGGGTAGTTTCGCTGAAGATCAATGGAACAAGGTATTAAATGGAACCAGTAACGAATATGAAAGTAGTACCTCTGGTTGTGTTTCTCATTTTTGGTGGGTAAACAGCACTGGGATAGATGCAAATGCTGATCAAGAGGTGGCGGTTCACCTTCCGTTGTTTCCGGAATATTTTGCGTCTGGGCGCCAAATTCAGGATCTTCTTCATTCTAATGAGATCTATCAATCTATTCTTTCTCCTCGAATGCTAGTTTCTGTTGGACCAGAACATCAAGCTGATATTCCAGAATGGAGCCAACAGGATCAGAAGAACTCTACAGATTTTCTAGATACGTCAGATCCTCAAGTTGCCCTTAGATCGTCATGTGCAGGCCTTATGGTAAATGATGATTACGGGGATAAGATGATAGGTTATTGTGTCATTCCAATGCCTGATTCTGAAGCAACTGCAAAGTTCCAGTGTGAAGACTCCGGACGCAGAACTGAATGTGAATGCCTTGATCAGGGTTCTGTCAGATGCGTTAGACAGCATGTGATGGAAGTAAGAGAGAAACTAAGAGAGAATCTTGGGCAGGAAATATTCAGGGAGATGGGTCTCTGTGATATGGGGGAGGAAGTTGCTAAAAGATGGACCGAAGAGGAAGAGCTGGCATTTCATAATGTTGTCCTCTCCAACCCTGTGTCAATGGGTAAGAATTTCTGGGATCATCTTTCTGCGGTCATCCCTTCCCGTGCGAAGGAGGACTTCATTCGTTATTATTTTAATGTCTTTATGCTCAGAAAGCGAGCTCAGCAGAACCGCATCGACCCCGTAAATGTTGATAGTGATGATGATGAGTGGCAGACTATTGAATATGAAAATCAAGCGGAGGATGACAACTCCGCTGTTGAATCTCCAGTTGGTCAAGGAACTGCTGCACATTTTGGACACTGCCATGAGGAAGATGGTCACGTGGACATTGAGGATGACAACGAGGATGGGGTTGATTCTTCTGAAAATGTCGCCGGTGATATCTGTAGAGCTGCAATCAATGAAGAAGACAAGGGAGAAAGTTTCATTAGCGATTATAATAGCAATGACTTCCAGCTTTCGAGTAAGATTCAGGGGAATAATGAAGATGATTATGATATTCAGGACGACTCGTGCACATTATACGAATATCAGAGGGAGGAGGTTGAATGTTGCGGCTTGCACGAGGCAGTGATGGATGAAAATCAACCCAGTCAAGAATGATGTAGCTTCATGGTCAAGACAGTATAAATGGGTTGACAAAAGGAACTCCTGGAGAACATGATTCTTGCAATCAGAGCACTTGGATGTTAATACCATAGTTGAGGACTTGCGTTTTTTTAACCCTGCAATGGTGAAATGTGAGTGCTTGTATCCAAGAAAATCTGAAAAATTCAAGGCTTGCGATGGGTAGGATATCACCTGTCAAATTCAAGCTGCTTTTGTTTGGTGGGATAGTGTGGATCTTCTGTTAAAAATAAATGTTAAGTTACCAGTTAGAACATCTGCACTGCATGTAGGAGCTGTGTTGCACGGTGGTGGTTCTTAGGAGGCTAGCATCCATGGGAGCATATGGGACTCATTGTATTTTGCATTCGGTTTGTCCTCTTCAGTAGGATGATCAAAATTTGATCCAATTCTAAAAAGTATTTTTGTTTAATTTTGAACGTTATTTGGATTAATTCCAATAGTTATTCGTTTTTTGAGTTTGAGTTAGACTTTATCAATTCTAAAATGATGTTATTCCATCTTTATATAAATAATTTGATTGTCTGCACAAATCGACCTAAATGATAAATGAATTGTTATTATTCTTTGAGATCTCGTATTCAAGTATTATAAATGTTAAGAATATAAGTGTTTAATGTCAAATGATTAATGTCAAATGATTGAAAGTTATCTTTAAACAGATATTATTTTATATTTACCCCATATTAATATAAAATAATAATAATAATAATGATTTGTTGTTTTATATTACTTCATGTTTTTTATTTTTTAAAACTTTTGTTGGAACCGTCTTTCGGTTGGGCCCCAGAATTGGGTTTCGACTTGAAATAATTAGGTTAGAGTCGCCATCGATCATTTTTAAAAAATTAGGTGGATCGGACACCATCTTACCTGATCCGCGTTTTACCAGAAATGTGTCGGGTTCGAGAGTCGGTTACAGTTAAGGAAGGATTAGCACCCTTGTTCTGCCCTTTCGGTACCAATTAATTTATCAGTTGTCTTAATTGCGAAAATTTGAAATTAAAATTAAAATTTAAAAGACCCGATTTAAATTACTTACCTCCGATAGATTTAAAAGTGTACCCTTGTAGAGTGATATGGCTATGGCCAGAATCACGTGGGTGTAAACCATACTCTTCTTGGTCTCTGTGCAATGTACTTAATTGCATGCAAACTCTTTGTGCACCATTAACAATAGGTAAGTCAACACCTACTCTACACGAAGCTTGGTCAGCTTCACCTTCGGCATTGATACGGCCTCGACCGTCTTGGTCCCCCTTTTGCTCTTCGGGACAACGAGATTGACGATGACCCCACCATCCGGCTCGATCAGCGAGTCTTTATAACAGAGGTAGACCGAACTCGACTCTGCTTTCTCCTCGGCTTGAGAGAAGTTGATGTTGTTGTTAAAGGATTGGAATGGTAAATCAGTTTGGGTCGGATTCTGGGATTGTATGTCGTGAAAAAAAAACTGGGTTTGTTGCAGGAATTAAGGTGAGTGGGGGAAATGAAGTGTACTTTGATCGTTAGAGACATGGTCGTGGCGGAGAGTTTTGTTAGAGAAGCAAAGCGATGTTCGGGATATAGAAGATGAGGCTTCAAGAATGGTGAATGAATTAGTGTGTTATTTGGTGGAAGAGAGAGGTTAGCATAGGACAGGGAAAGAGATCCACACATTTTCCTGTTTCGCTCACTATTTTAGTGTTTGTGGACTGAGGTTGCCATCCTCCCCCCTCTTTTTCTTCCCCGTTGTTGGCGTATAGAACTGTATATAAAGCAGTTCAATGGACAACACGTTCATCCACGACACGAAAATCACGGAATCACGAAGGTCGGTCTTTAAGGGTTTCAGAGTCCCACAAGTCTGCATGCACTTCCGATGCAACCATGAGAAATAGCAACGATTCCCATGGAATCCGGACCATGATGCACAGTTCCAAGGTTTTCCCAAGGACGTATCTTTTAATCAAAGAAAGTGGGATAGTGGGTTGATCATGGGACCTGCAAAAAAAAATGTTAATAATAATAGTAATAAATAAATAAATATAAAAAAATATTTTTTTAGAAAATATATGTAGATATATATATGTGTAAAATAAAATAAAATAAAGAAATAAGGACGAAAATGAGTGTCTACAGCTGCTCCTCTTTGTCATTTTTCATGGAACGAAAAATAGGACAAAGATAAAAAGACACAAATTTTTGTTCGGTGGTGTTGAAGAGTAACTCCCTGTCGAATTGAGTTGCAGATGGCTCCTCCGTCGTGAAGTCGAGTCCATCTTGAAATGATATGGAATTGAAGCCGTAGTTCGGAATTTGAATCGGAACGTGGCTTCTCGTTGCCAAATTGTACTCAACTTCGGTCTTCTTATAGGTTTAAAGACCTTGGTTAAAATTCGACTGGAAAATAGTTCTTTGACTTCACCATGTGGTTGATAGGCCCTCGAGCTGAATGAAATCGAACTCGAAAGGTCTCTTGTTAGAAGATAACCCTTCTAGCCTTGAGTTATGCTACAAATGATGTGCCTTTGAGCCGAGCGTAGTCGAACTCGGAGATCTTTTGTTACCAAATAACCCTTCTTGCCTTGAGCTATGTTACAAATGATGTGCCTTTGAGCTGAGCGTAGTCAAACTCGAAGGTCTTTGATTGTCAGATAACCCTTCTAGCCTTGAGTTATGCTGTAAATGATATGCCTTGGAGCTGAGTGAAGTCGAACCCGAAGATCTTTGTGTTTCAAGAGAAACATTTTCAAAGGTTTTTTTAAGAGAATCAATTTCAAAGGTTTTTGTGTTTCAAGAGAAAATGTCTCAAGAGCGACAACTTAGTTAAAAAAGAAACTGTCTCAAGAGAGACGAAATTTGTTTCAAGGGAAACATATTCAAATATTTTGTTTCAAGGGAAACTGTCTCAAGAGAGACAAAATTTGTTTCAAGGGAAACTGTCTCAAGAGAGACAAAATTTGTTTCAAGGGAAACTGTCTCAAGAGAGACTAAACTTTGTTTCAAGGGAAACTGTCTCAAGAGAGAGAGAATTTGTTTCAAGGGAAACAGTCTCAAGAGAGACAAAACTTTGTTTTGAGTACATTAGTCTCAAGCGAGACGACCCCTTGTTTCGAGAGAAATGATCTCAAAGGCGATCGATAATCTGCTTGTTCCTGAAGATAAATTTTGATGGTGTGTACGATTCCCTTCGTCGTGAAGTTGAAACTGTGGAAGACCCCTTCGTTGTAAAGTTGAGCCTTGAATTGGATATCCTTCGTCGTGAAGTTGAAATCCAATCTAAAGATGAATGTTGCTGGTGAGCACGATTCCCTTCGTCGTGAAGTTGAAACCGTGGATAGCCCTTTCGTTGTGAAGTTGAGCCTTGAATTGGATATCCTTCGTCGTGAAGTTGAAATCCAATGTAAGTTGCGCTGTTCTGAGGCCAATATCCTCCTCCGTGAAGTTAAAATTGGCTCTGGAACTGGGAAATTATTTGTTGACAGTCAACTGCCCCTTCGTTGTGAAGTTGAGCTTGTGATGTCTCGAGTCCAATATCCTTTGCTGTAAAGTTGAAATTGGCTCTAAAACTGGGAAGTTTATTTGTTGACAGTCAGCCGCCCCTTCGCTGTGAAGTTGAGCTTGTACTGTCTGGAGTCCAATATCCTTCGCTGTGAAATTGAAATTGGCTCTGAAACTGGGAAGTTGTTTGTTGACAACCAGTCGCCCCTTCGTTGTGAAGTTGAGCTTGTATTGTCTTGAGTCCAATATCCTTCGCTGTGAAATTGAAATTGGCTCTGAAACTGGGAAGCTCTTTCGTCGTGAAGTTGAGCCTCAAATGGCATGATATCCTCCGTCGTGGAGTTGAAATCGCGGATGACCCCTTCGTCGTGAAGTTGAGCCTTGACTTGAATATCCTTCGCCGTGAAGTTGAAATCCAAGTATTGTATGTTGCGGGTAGACACGATTCCCTTCATCGTGAAGTTGAAACCGTGGATGACCCATTCATTGTAAAGTTTGGCTTCGAGTCAGATATTCTTCGTCGTGAAGTTGAAATCTACTCTCGAGCAAATTGTGTCGTTTCGAGTCTAATCTCCTTCGCTGCGAAGTTGAAATTGACTCTAAAAGCTGTAAAAAAAAATATGTGAACTAAAAATGATAAATGTGATGCTCTTAAGTATGTCTAAGATGCATGCAACATGAATGAGTTATGTTTTATCTCTTGGATTGGAGTCCCGTATTTTGTCTGCTAATCTGATCCATGGAATCGATCGTGCCCCATTTGCTTCTTAAGCTCTGGCTTTACCAACCTTTCATATTTGAGATTGTCCTGTCTGAAAATGTTTTTCTTTTTTCTTGTTTTAGAAGGGAAAAGGATAAAAATTATGCAAAATATTGTTCGCAATTGAATCAAATTGTAAACATGAGTTCAAAGTATATCAAAGGAATCAATATATATTTTTAATGCTTTCAGAGTTATAGCTCTTTGAAAAATGTTCAAATGAATGAGTTGACTTCAGGTTGACTTCCTTTCTAAGGTTTCGGTAACCCAAAATGTCATTTTTTGAAATATCACAACATGCTTTTTCTTTGGTTTGGTATTTTTATTGGGTGCAGACAAAATGACGCGACTAGCATGATCAATTACTAGACCTTTTATTTCAGTCCTCTGAAATCTTCCATTTGTTCAAGTTTTGTAAGTTTATCTAACTAAGGTAGTGCAGAAATATCGGTCTAAAAATGAAATTCTTGAGTGCTCGTGTGTATTTGACTATAACATGTGTTCCTTAACTCCCTTAGTTCATCATTACCGAAAATTTCTTGTTTAGATAAATTTCATTTAATTTGCCATTATCTGGCTAGTCAAATCCATAAAGCCAGGGCGTTTAACCAATTGCTTTAGAGGGAAAGCTTAATATTATAATCACTTTTATCATGTTTAACTGAAGGGTTCATCTCATCACAAAGTCTTCGGCCTGACAAAAGTAGTGGAGCAAACACTGAATTACCAAGTGTTCGAGCAATGTCATGGTTTGAATGTAATCTATTCATAAGGCCAGGGCTTTCAAGTTTCCTCTATAACCAATTGCCTTAGTGGAATAGCTCAACTTTACGGATTTGATTTCTTAAGATTGTCAAGAAGAACCTGTTATAGCCTAGGTGTTGTTAAAAGTCAAGGAATCTCATCTTTAGAGTTCAATTTCCAAGCAACTGGGCTAAACTAGATTTGCTTACTCGACTATTCCATCTGTGAAGATAATGATCATCATTGAACGTCTTAAACAAAAAGTATAGTAATTGTCATATGCAAATGATGCCACATGTTGTCCGCACCTATGCACATCTAAATACCAAGCCTTATGAAGAGGGAATTCTATATTGGTTATTTACAAGAGAAGGGTACGGTGTCTGAGCGTATCTTCTGGGTAAGATCAAAGTCATTTGTTTTAT